CGATGTGTTTCGAAAAGTGAGTGTTGAGAACCGGAGACCTTTTTACTGGAAACGAGACAGTATATCTTAGTCCTCAAGGATGACAACGCATCCTCATTTTGATTCTTATTCGAGCATAGTGTGGATGTCTATTGGCCACAGAACCCACGAAACATCGGGTGGACTGTGTGATCGTTTGTCACTTTTATTCTATTAAAAAAATCATTAGGCGGACACTAATTTTTAAAGTGAAAACTTCTTTAGGGACGTTGGGCACTTTTGGGATGCGGAAAAAACACTGAACTCGCGTGATCGTCATGCTCACATACATGATGAAAATAATATTGTAAATACAATTGATTAAATTTTATGAAATTGATATGTAGTTACAAATTTGTATTATATAGATAATAATCATTCTTTTTCATGTAAAACAGCGCAATAAATGAAAATTTTATTACTAAGTATATTAATACGTCGATAAAAAAACGTGTGTGTACTTATGCACGCTCGTAGGAAGTTATACTTCTTAAGCGTAACAAAACAAAAATAACTAAATAACTTTAATTAGGAATGATAATACATTAATTGCAATTAATTGATGTATAACTTTCAAATAAATTTGTTGGTACGATACGCGCGCCACCTATTGTAAGTTAATTGTACTATGCCTATAACCTATGCACAAGTGCAAGCAATAAGTTGACAAAGTTGTATTGCAACGCATAAAATACGAACAAACAAAAAAAATTTTATATATTAGAATAACAACTATAATAATGTCGTCCAGACCGAATTTCTGTCACAGCGACCAATCTCAACGAAGGCTAGCCATCTGCGCAAGACAGGATAGTAGTGCCCGTGTATGTGCGCGCAACCACAGGTGCACTCTCTATTCTTCAATCTCATAGCACGATTGATTTTTTTTCTGTTTTTGTTAGGGATTTTTGTCGAAACAACCCCATCATATCGTCAATCCCATCATCATCATCAGCTGGCAGCAGTTAACTGCTGAACATAAACCTCTCCCAAGGCACGCCACTTATCCAGTATCCTCATCATCATCATTTTCATCATCATTACAGCCCTTCACAAGTCCACTACTGAACATAGACCTCCGCCACGGAATGCCACAAACACGGTTCTGAGCCACCTGCATCCCTCGACTTCCTGCATCTTACATCACCTAGTGGGGGAGGGGGTGTCACCCTACGAGGCTGCCACACGAGAACCTTTCTTATCCATCGGTTGTCGGTTCTTCTAGCTATGGCCTACCCATGGAAACTTCAGCTTACTGATCCGTTATCTAATATCTTTGTAATCAAATTAGACTAAAGTGTTTTCATAAATAGTAATATTTACAGATATGTTATCCAAACTAACAATGACCAAAGGCGTTTTATAGGCTGATTGTTTAATTTACAAATTTAAGAGTGGGATTAAAGTAATTTCCATTCCTATCTCAATTTCCCTTTCTACTTGACAACATTTTTCCTTAATTGTTCTTTTCAGTCCTTGTCCTTTTCTCACTTCTACCTTTCCGTTCTTAATAGTTTTTATTTAGCCATACTTAAAAATCGCTTCCGCAATCGCCACCGCTCAGACAATGATGACTTCCAATCGTAACGGGTGGTAATTTCTTTTAACGCCAGTCACCGAGCAAAACAATTGTTTTCAGACGTAATACTACGTTCGCTCTACAATTGTCCTCGGTTCCATCCGACTAATCTCTAATGTCAGTGCTTGTATATCTCGTTTTATCGAGTTACTAGAAGGTCGATTCACGTAACAAATGACAGTAAGAATGAAAATGAACTGGATTTCCTCGACGGACCGGAATTCAACTTACATTACTTACAAAAATAAAAAGTATCCTAGAGCAGCATTTTATTTAGAGAATTTAAAAGAGTTGGAATGAGCAGGAAAAATTAAAATATTTTTAATTAAACCTCTTACAGATAAACAATAAACGCCATAAAAATATTTAAGAGAAAATTGTTTGAGTTAGAACGTGTATTGTTCTAAAAGAAATTCATTGCCCCATTAAGTGTATATTTTCTTTGCTATTACCTTCGTCGGTATCGTAAGAGCCTGTGGGGAATGCCAGATGGCCTCTAAAAGTTAGCGATCTCGTATATATTATCCAGATCGGTGACTGGGAGCAGATTTAATGGCGCGAAACGTCTAGTAATGTGCTTTTTTAAAATATTAGTGTGACAAACAAGCACACAGTTAACCTGATCGTACCTATGTGGATGTTGTGGCCCATAGACATCTATACCAATCGTGAAAAGTGTATCCGGTTGTCTACCCTCACATACGAAACACAACAGCATTAAGCTTTGTGGAGCCGACCTGTTTGTGCAACAACAATAATTTAGCTGCGGCGTGACTTTACCACGTTAATTTTTTTTAAAGAAATATGGTGACAAACGAGCACACAGTTCACCTGATGGTAAATGGTTACTGAGGCCTATAGACATCTACATATCTCCTCGTTTGCGAATCAAAATGCAGATGCGTTGTCAGCTTTGAGGAATAAGATGGAATACCTCGTATCCAGTAAAAAGGGTCTCCGATTCACTACGCTCACCATATGAAACACAGCAGCATTAAGCTGCTATTTTACGCTGATATTCTGTGAGAGCGTGGTCCTTCCCCGGTCGAGCCGACCTATTCGTGCTACAACTATACTATAAATATAGCTGCAGCATGGCTCTACCACGTAAAAAATTGCCAATCCGCCTAGCAAACGTGGCTATATAGCAAATCCACTGACTAATTTTGAATACGGTGATATAAATCATGTACAAACATGTACTGTCGATAGCTATTAGTCGCAAATGAAATATTGTAAAGGATTTAATATGAGAAGTGGCGGTGTAAGAATATCCACGACTCCATACCGTCCCATGAGGGTCGTAAGAGACAACAGAGAGAAATTGTAAAAGGAAATGGGCAGCAGCAACTTCCTGATAACAACTCGGTTGCTAAACGTGGTAACTGTAGCAAGAGTTCATCTATGAAGCAATCTATGGGGAGGCCTATTTGATAGGCTCTAACGGAATATTACTCCCCGGTAACATGGCGGCAACCATTAGTATTTAGTAATGTAGTGTCTATTATCGTCGCCGTGCGATAACTCCGTACCAGGGATCGATAATCTAACGCATCTTCGTACTCAGCACTTAAATTTAAAAAAATAAGGCTTGCACTCGGCAATATAATAGTGAATGATTCCACTCTGAATCAATTTCTTTTAATATTGGCGTCTAAGTGGTATTGACGTCTAGTGTTGAGAGATGATAGATGTTATGGACCAAGTGTAAGATTAGGGTATTATTTATAATGCTCGGGCAATATCAATAATGACAAGTCAAATCGGGCTATGTAATTAATACTTATTTAAATTTAATTATTTATTACATCATTATGAATACTGCTTGGGCAATTTGATATAACCTAACCATGTTAATCACTTTTAAGACAAGAATTTAATAATGTTAAATTTGTTAAAAAATAATAGCCGCGGAACTTAGCAAATTGTTTTTTTAACAACTTTAATATAATGGGTTTCCGCAAAGTAGCTCCTGATTGTTAATAATGTACCACATCTGGAATTAACAAGTGTAAAAATGTGAAGGAAGGGGAAAACCACTATGCCGTATTAAATAGCAGCATTGGGATATTCCTTCCTTTGCGTTACAAAGAAAAATTACCCTTGATGAAAAACTTTATTCCCATTGTGTTGTGTTAAATATTTGACTTCAAAAAAAACCTAAAGTATCATTTTACACTATTGCTAATAATATGATAATCGTATAAAAAATACTTATTCGTTTGATAATTTTAAAATAAAAAGTTCAATTCTCTCAATATTATATTTTAATTTATTTATGGTTAACGATTATTTAATTATAATATACACGGCTTTAGGGTAGCGGTAGCCCAGGCTCATCATAACCTACTATCTCTGATATTGCAAAATTGGTGTAATATTTTATTAGACGCAAATAGCCTAATCATACGAGTAAGTATCAGAGTATTATAATATACTTTGTTTTATTAAATGGTCTAAAATTATTAAAATATTTTTTTAAATATTTTTTTTTCAATTTAAGTATATATCTAACGAATAAAAATGCATAAAACATACGATATTCGTGTAAATAAAGAAAATATCGTTCGATTACCATATGATTCCATTTTTTCTACCGACATCAAAAAGGAGACGGTACTCAACTCGACTGTATGTTCTCTTTTATGTGTGTTACCTCATAACTTTTTCTGGGTGAACCGATTTCGATGACTCTTTTTTTTATTTGAAAGGTGGTGCTTCTCATGTTGTCCCATATAAATTTGATCAAGGTTTGACCAATGGTTTTTGAGTTATTCTTAATAATTTATATTGAAGTCGGTTGTACAACATTTTTAATTTTAAATTATTACCACTCCCCTCAATAAGTAACGGACTTTATTCATAAAGCCCGGTCAATTAAATTATTTCAATAGTTTTTATCACATTGTCTACTCATATTAGGCATTGTTCATATTGCCCGGGCATTATTAATAATGCTCAATTAATGACTTGGTCCATAACATATATTTTTGAATGGAAGCTAAAAAGTTGAAAAATATAAAATTAGGTTTAATTTTAACTGGCATATGATATTTTAGAAATTAGATTTTAATGTTAGTGGCGGTGTAAGAACATCCACTACCCCGTATTGTCCCGTGGCTGTCGTAAGGAGCGACATACGGAAACTGAAACAGGAGCAGCATCATCGGTACCAACATTTGGGCGAAAACATAAATTGATACTTTATACGTTTGATGTGTTGATTTTCCTCAAGTTGCCACATTGTATCCTATCGTACCTCCGGTTTTGTCGCATAGGTGGAAATTCAAGAACGGAAGAATTAGGGCGAGTGATTCTCTTGTCGCCGAACTTTAAAATCGGCCAAATCATCAGCACCATCATCTACTTTCCAAATGTCTTATAGCTGTTTTTATCTTCGCAGAGGAATCGAGCGTCTGTCTATCAAGTTCCTGCATTTACACGGCCAGCGAGGTGATCAGAGCAATCGATGAGAAGCAGGACCCTTGCGAAGACTTCTACGAGTTTGCATGCGGTGGCTGGATCAAGAACAATCCGATACCTGAAGGAAAATCTAGTTGGGGTATCTTCAGTAAGATCGAGCTTCAAAACCAGCTGACTATCAGATACGCGTTGGGTAAGTGAAAATACAACTGTTGTTTTGTGTATTTTCTAACTGGCAGAGTCAATGTTGCAGCTGAATTTTGGTTGATAAACAAATAGGTCGGTTCGACCGGGCAAAACCCCGGCTCACACAGAATACCAGCGTAAAATAGCAGCTTCATAATGAGTAAGTGTAGAGAACAGGAGACCCTTTTAACTGGAAAAGAGACATTCCATACTATGTCCTCAGGGGTGACAACGCTTCTTGCTTCACTTTTAACTTTACAATAATGTTGGGTAGCTTAATTTAATTTTGAAAGTCCAAGATTACTTTGGTTTGTTGTTCCAATGTTAATAATATCTTATCTATTATGTGATTACGTTTGGAGATAGTGAAACAATTATAATAAAATATTACGACCAGCCAACCAGGAGTGAGATTTAAGTGTGTAGCGGATATGCGATAAGCGTTAGAAGACATTATAAGATTGTTTGACAATCTTTTAAATAATATATAATATTCAACTAAGTTATATGAATGCGAGTTATTTGAAAAGGACTTAATACCCCAATTAGGTTGCGCACGAATAAACTCTCTTTGGATTTAATGAGCAAGCGCCTTTCATTTCGTCCTTTCATTCCGACCTCTCTTCACCGCTTTGCTATCTTTATAATTAAAATTCGTTTCGAATACGTATTGTATTCAGAATTAAAATGAAAATACAATGAGTTGCCTTTTCTTATTTAGTTTAATTTAACTACAAATTTTGAAATTCCTTCATCTGGGTTAGCTAGCTATTACAAAAGATTGAATATCCCACACAGCCATGCAAAAGTATACAAATGCCTATTAAAATGCCAAATAAATCTCCGCATGAAGATAGCTCAAATGAACTTATGACTTGAGGTTGTTAAACGCTTTAGTCCCTCCATCAACATTGATAATGTAATTCCCTTACATTTTTATAGGATAAGCGTAACAAACGAGCACACAGTCCACCTGAAGGTAAGTGTATGCTGTGGCCCATAGACATCTTCATCTACCCACGATTACGAATTAAAATACAGATGCGTTGTCACCCGTGAGGACTAATATGGAATGTCTTAGTAAATAGGGTCTCCTATTCTCTACACTCACCATACGAAACACAGCAGTTAAGCTGTTATTTTCTGCCGACTTCCAAAAAGGAGCCGGTACTCAATTCGACTGTATGTTTTTTTTTTTTTTCGTTTTTTTTTTTTTATGTGTGTTACCTCAGAACTTTTTTCTGGGTGAACCGATTTCGATGATTCTTTTTTTATTTGAAAGCTGGTACTTCTCGTGTGGTCCCATATGAATTTGATCAAGGTCAGACCAATAGTTTTTAAGTTATTCTTAAATAACTTATATTGAAGTCGGCTGTACAAAATTTTTAATTTTAAATTATTACGCTGGTATTCTGTGAGATTCCTTACACATTAAGAATTAAAAATAAGTTCAAAGTGCACGCAATAAAATAATTTTTTTTTTAATTTTATTTGTCCATATACAGGGTTACTAAGAACTCGATAATTTCCTGGCAGGGCGTGATAGGGTAGTCAAAATGCTAGAAATTTGATCTCCCACATGTATGGCCGAAAATGAATAGGTCTTGAGATATTCGGATTTTAAAGATTTTTCAATAATCACCCAGAATTTCGTATTAAGTTATAGATAAAAATAAAACCTTTTTTTGTATGCTTTCTTTTAAGTTTATTTATTTTCTTGAAGCTTCAACCAAGCAAATACAATCATAATCATATGGGACCAAACGAGAAGTATCAGCTTTCATATAAAAAAACAATCATCGAAATCGGTTCGCCCAGTACAAAATTATGAGGTAACACACATAAAAAAAAACATACAGTCGAATTGAGTACTGTCTCCTTTTTGGAAGTCGGCAGAAAAGAAAAATAAAACGTCGATTCTGGGTTCACCCGCTTAATTGCAAAAGATTGCAATTCATGTACTTAGTAGAGCTATGCTGCAGCTATATTATTGTTTTAGCGCGAATGGGTCGGCTCGACCGGAGCAGAACAATGCTATATGTGGTAGAGCCAAGCTGCAGCTGTGTTTCTAGTATAGTTGTATCACGAATGGGTCGGCTCGACCGGAGCAGAACAATGCTATATGTGGTAGAGCCAAGCTGCAGCTGTGTTTCTAGTATAGTTGTATCACGAATGGGTCGGCTCGACCGGGGAAGGACCACGCTCTCACAGAATACCAGCGTAAAATAGCAGCTTAATGCTGCTGTGTTTCGTATGGTGAGTGTAGAGAACCGGACACCCTTTTTACTGGAAACCGAGGAACTCCATCTTAGTCCTCACGGGTGACAACGCATCTGCATTTTGATTCCTAATCGAGGATAAATGTAGATGTCTATGGGCCACAGCAACCACTTACTATGTGCTCGTTTGTCACCGTTATCCAATAAAAAAAATGCTCACACAGAATACCAGAACAATGCTGCTTTGTTTCATATTTCTATCTTAGTCCTCTGGGATGACAACGCATCTGCGTTTTTATTCTTAATTGAGGATAAATGTAGAGGTCTATGGGCCAAGACATCTACTTACCATCAGGTGGACTGTGTGCTCGTTCGACACCCTTTGTTCTATAAAATAAGACAATAAGAGAGATCAAAAATAAGAGCTTATCCTGATAAATTATTCAATTACTATCGTATGTACTACAGAGTCATAAGCAAATAATGTTTAGTCACTACCCTACTGAGCCGTCGAACCCTACCTTAGGTGGGTACCAAAAACTTATATGATATTATTAGCTACCGACCAATTTACGAACAAGATAATGTACTGTGTTTTTATACATGAATAATAAAATCAACTAAACGCTTACTTCTTTTCTTGTTATCTTCGACATTTAAATTAATCCAATTTGGAGTATAATTCTGCAAAATTTTTTCCAAGCCTATTTTGTTAGTTGTTATCAATTATAATCCGCAGGCATGGATATTTTCTACAACGTATTCTCATAGATCTTCAAATAATTCGTTAACTAAACGCTTACTTCTTTTCTTGTTATCTTCGACATTTAAATTAATCCAATTTGGAGTTATAATTTTGCAAAATTCTTTCCAAGCCTATTTTGTTAGTTGTTATCAATTATAATCCGCAGGCATGGACATTTTCTACACCGTATTCTCATAGATCTTCAAATAAATTCGTTAACTAAACGCTTACGTCTTTTCTTGTTATCTTCGACATTTAAATTAATCCAATTTGGAGTTATAATTTTGCAAAATTCTTTCCAAGCCTATTTTGTTAGTTGTTATCAATTATAATCCGCAGGCATGGATATTTTCTACACCGTATTCTCTTAGATCTTCAAATAAATTCGTTAACTAAACGCTTACGTCTTTTCTTGTTATCTTCGACATTTAAATTAATCCAATTTGGAGTTATAATTTTGCAAAATTCTTTCCAAGCCTATTTTGTTACTTGTTATCAATTATAATCCGCAGGCATGGACATTTTCTACACCGTATTCTCATAGATCTTCAAATAATTCGTTAACTAAACGCTTACTTCTTTTCTTGTTATCTTCGACATTTAAATTAATCTAATTTGGAGTTATAATTTTGCAAAATTCTTTCCAAGCCTATTTTGTTAGTTGTTATCAATTATAATCCGCAGGCATGGATATTTTCTACCCCGTATTCTCATATATCTTCAAATAATTCGATAATTGCGGTACCTACTGACGTGAATTTCTGATAGAGAGCGGCGTCTGATACAAAATATATGGAGAGCACGCCGTCGGGAATCTGACATGAATAATTTCTGATATGCGGTTGGCATGCATCCTGCGATCGTAGCGGATAGGACGAACGATCCGGCGAATTTCTAACAGTATGTAAGGGTTTAGTACAAAATGTATGCGCAGCGTGCCTTCCGGCAAACCATAGAAATTTTCTAACAGAAAATTTCTTAAAATGTGCCGCCGGGCCTAATGTCTTTTAGTATTCTCTACCAGGCGACCCTTTTCGCGTAAAAAATAGAAACCATGCTGCAAATATATTATTTTACATAATTTATCAAAGCATATAGCGCGTATCGTAAACGTTGACAGAAGAAAATAAATTGGGGGAGGCCAGTAGCATCTTTCTGATGACAACATTTTATACGTGGTAGAGCCACGCTGTAGCTTTATTATGATTATAACACGAAGGGGTTGGCTCAACCGGAGCAGGATAATGCTCTCACAGAATACCAGCGTGAAATAGCAGCATAAAGCGTCTCCCACATAGACGCGGCTTGCGGTGGCGGCCAGTTGTATTCGCTTGCAATGTAAGTGAGTCTGTAAACTGGAGCGGCCATCGCGCGGCCTGCCAGCGGCTGGCCGCGGCCGCATGCTCCGCCGCATTTGCCAACGCGTGTGTGTTAGCGAGTACGCGGTCAGTCAATGGCCGAAGCGCGGTCAGTTGTAAATTTTTACAACAGGCCGCGTGTACCGCGTGAAAAATGCTGCTAAATTCAGAGGTTTTAATAGAAACAGTGCAAAATTATCCTGTACTTTATGATAATTCACATCGTGATCACAAAAGCATTAGGATTAAAAACAAAATATATGATAATATTGCTGAATATAATAATACTTCGCCACGGTTTGTCATGTTTACTAACGTCCGATCGTAGCACAGACACCACAGCGAATGGCGCTTCAGGCCGCCATTCCGGCCGCGGTGGTATGTTGTTGCAGCGGCTGGAGCCGCGGCCCGCGGTTAGCCGCCACCGCAAGCCGCTTGTGTGTGGGAGACGCTTAATGCTGCTGTGTTTCGCATGCTGAACCTAGAAAACCGGGTCCTTTTTTACTAGAAACGGGGCATTCCACCTTAATCCTCCGGGGTGACAATCAATGATAGATAATATAGATGTCCATGGGCCGCAGCATCCATTTACTATCAGGTGGAGACTGTGTGCTCTCTTGTCACCCTTATTCTATAAACAATATTTATCGTATATTATATTGTATTATTTATCAAATGAATGAAG